CACACCTGTGCAATGTGTGCTGGTATGTGAATATCACACAGTGAAAGCAGGCTCTGATCTTTGATATCCTCAAAGATCAGCAAGGTGCCCAACTTCCCACAATGATCCCTGGCCCTTAGGTGTCTGTGGGCCCATAAAGGTGTCTGACCAAAGGCCAGTATGTCCTGGGGGACCATCCACCTGAGTTCTGAAGATTGAGGTACCTGAGACAATCAGTGTGTGTCAAGAGAACTGCATTTGCCTCAAATAAGGATGGCAGCTGGATGCACACTCCCCCTTCCTGTCATGACTTCCCCTGCCCACAGGGAGGGATTGCACTCTGGCCACTTCTGGCGGTACCCTCTTTAGTTGCCACTGCTGATAGCACCCCTGGGGTATTCTTACCTTTTGTTACCATTGTCTTAAATAGACATTAGAACATGTGATCTTAGACAGTTTTGTGATTAGAACTACACCTCCCACCTGGAGCCACCAAACCCCTTTCATTGGCTGCTCAGGCCAGAGGCACTTAAAACTCACACTGAGATGCTTGACAGAAGTTTCTGGATGTCTTTTGACTTCTTGATTTCTTCCTTACAAAGCTCAAGCAGCTTCACACAAAAGTGGTGGCTGGAAGAAAAGTACATTGTTCTAGAGTAGAGCTTCCACAGCACACAGCATCACATTAGCTGCCATCACCAGGTGACCACAGGGCCAAGTGACTGACCTCAACAGAAGAGACCCCACACAACAGGTGCCGTGGCATTGAGTGAGACCATGTGGTGGCCCAGGTCACAGGAAGGAGGACAACTGAGCCTTAGCTAGCCCCTCTACCTTCACCTCTCCCAGTGACCTGAGAACTGCTGTACTTCTGGGTTGGTCCGTGACAATAGCTCCAAGGCCAACCCATCTGAGGAGAACACTGCTGTCCCCTGGATGACGTGGCAAAGGTGGCCTTGCCCCAGGACACTCAGAGGTCCCCACCCTTCTCTGACCTGGCTCCCTCCAGCATCTCTCTAGCTTCCTAAAATGCTTGTTGGAGACCAAGTGACCATGGTGTTGGTGAGGGCTGTGGTCCCCAGCCTGCATGAGGGCTCAGCATTAGCCACCAGTGGCCGCTCTTGAGAACACAAACATCTGATTCTGCTATCTCTCTGTTTCCATGTGGCTCTGTCAGGGACCTTCCAGGTCTACCACAGCTCCCTGGTCCACAAAGACCCTGTGAATTCACACACCAGTGGTGCTCTGAGGACTCAAAGCTCAGCCACATGGCACAAGTGTCCTCTGCAAACAGCTTTTAGGTAAAGCCAGCAAGCATCACCACCAGCAGGTCTTACCAGGGGTCCTTTCTGGGAGAAAGAAGATGATGGGGAAACCTTAAAATACAGCAATGAGACAAAGGTAACAAAATGTAGATAATTTGGGCTTGGGGGCATAGCTCAAGGGGTAGAGTGCTCAAGGTCCTGGGTTTAATCCCAGTACCAAAAAAAAAAAAAACGGTGGGGGGAGGGGCACAGATGATTCAAAATAAACAGAGAAGAATAAATGGAAATAATATGTAACTCAGAGGGGAGTCAAACTCACATGTTCTAATATCCTTGGCATTGTCCAAGAAAGGCAGAATTAAAAATAAGAATTTGGTAAAAAAAAAAAAAAAAAAAGAAATATGAAAGAGACAATGAAACCTCCTGCAGTTGCTTTAAGTGGGGTGGAGGAGCAGCTTGCAGGGGAGGGAGATGGCCAGGGTGATCTAACCAATATACAATGAAAGCCTATTCCGAACTGTCACAATGAATCCCAGCTGTACAATGAATATATCCTAATAAAATCTGAGGAAATATTATTCAGATAACAATAAAGAAAAAAATAAACTAACATGGCTACAACTTTTAGGAATTCTGGAATATGATCAAAAGACCAAACCTAAGAATACATGGTTGAACATGGACCCAAGAAACAAACTAAAGTCATAGAAAATCTATCTTATAAAATTGTAGTAAAAAATTCTCCAATTTAGAGGTAGATATATAGACATCCAAGTAGAGTAGGAATTTAGAATCTCAAATAGACATTACCAGAAAGGAAACTCTACCCATTATATTCTAGTTAAAATGCAAAAGTACAGAACAAATAGAACACTAAATCTGCAAGAGAGAGGTGCCAAACTATCTACAAAGGTAAACTCTTCAGAATTACATCAGACCTATCAGCAGAAACCATAAAAGCCATGAGAAAGTGGAATGATATATTTCAAATCCTGATAATAAATAACTGCCAACCAAAATTCCTATAACCAAAAAAGTCATTCTTTAAAATCAATGGAGAAGTATGACCTTCTAAGATAAGCACAGACTAAAGCTATTCATGACAACACTCCAGAGATATTTAAAGGAATTGTACACAGAGATGAGGAAGAAAGACATTCACAAATACATGAACTCAAGAAAGAATAAACTTCATGAGAGGAATAGAGGACCAAACAATTAGGAAAAAAATTTAAATGTCCAACTTAGTAAACCAGAAAACCCCTAAGATGAAGGGTGAAAGAAAAGAAAACAACATTCAAATCAATCAGTAAAACAATCATCAAAATTGCAGGAATCAGTAAATGCCTGTCAATAATAACCTAATATATAAAGGTCTTAACTCTCCAATTAAAAGATGTAGACTGGTTGATTGGATTTTGAAAAAGACCCAACTGTTTGTTGTCTGCAAAAACAAACCTCACAGGCATAGATGTACACAGACTGGAAGTGAAAAGATGGAAAATGATATAACAAGCAACTAGAAACCCAAAGCTGCCAAATAGCTATTCTACAAAGTAGAATGCCAATCAAAATTAGTCTGAAGAAATAAAGAAAAATGCCATCCCATATCAAGAAGATATAACAATTATAAACATATATACAATGAATGTTTCTACACCCAATTACATAAAATAACCTCAGTTGGCCATAATGGTATATATATATAGATAAAATAATACTAGGTGACTCTCATCAGAAGACCCAGAAAAAAATAACTCAACAAAAACTTCAGAGTTAAACTGTACCATGTATCAAATGGACCTAAAATGTATCAGCAGAATGTTCTATGCAACAACTGCAGGATACACAATATTTTCAGCAGCCTCTAGAACTTTTTCCAAAATAGATCACATTTAGGCAATAAACCAAGTCTTAACAAAAACAAAAATATGGAAATAATTCATTGTTTCTTAATAGATCATAAGGTAATATAATTAGAAATCAATAGTAATAGAAACTATGCAAACCCATGGAGACTGAACACTACACTTTTGATGATCAGTGGGCCATTGAAGAAATCAGGGAGGAAAGTTAAAAAATTTTGCAATCAAATGAAAATGAAACCACAACTTAACAGAATCTGTGGGACACAGCAAAGACAGTACTAAGAGGTAAATCTATACCTATGAGTGCCAACATTAAACAATCAGAGAGTTTCTCAAATAAATAACCTAATAAACCTAATAAATGACCCAATGATGCACTTTAAGGTATTTTTTAAAAAGCCAAAAGTTAATAGATGGAAAGAAATAATATAAATCAGGGCAGAAATTAATTCAGTGGTAATTAAAAAAACAAAAAAGAATCAATGAAATGAAGAGTTGGTTCTTTGAAAAGCTACACAAGATTGAAAAACCCTTAGCCAAACTAATGAAATGAATGAGAGATAAGACACAAATAAAATTAGAGATTAAAAGATGGATGTTATAACATATACCAATGAAATCCAAAGGATCATTAGAAATTTCTAAATACATAGGACCTACCAAAATTGAACCAAGAGGATATGAACAACTTAAACAGATAGGTAATAATCAATGAGATAGAAACAGTAATAAAGAATTTCCTAACAAAGAAAAGACCAAATGGATTTACTGCTGAATTCTATCACTTTTAAAAAAGAACTTACATCAATGCTCCACAAACAGAAAGGGACATGACAAAAAAATAAAACCATTGAGCAATTAAACCAAATTCAAGAACATATTTAAAATCATACACCATGATCAAGGTGGTTTCATTCCCGAATGCAATGACTATTCAACATATCAATAAATGTAATTCAACCATAAATCGAATCAGTGGCAAAAATCTCAAGATCATTTCAAATACATTCAGAAAAAGCCTTTGAAAGAATTCCACATCCATTCATGATAAAAAACCCTGAAAAAACTAGGAATAGAAGGAATGTACTGCAAAATAATAAAGGCTACATAAGACAAACCTGTAGCTAACCTTGTACTAAATGGGGGAAAATGAAAAAAAATCCTCTAAATATCAGAAACAAGACAAGTGTCCACTAACAACACTTTTTCAATATAGTGCTTGAATTCTTAGTAGAACAATGAGACAAGAAAAAGAAATAAAGGGAGCAATACACACAGGAGAGGAAGAAGTCAAATTATCCCTATTTGCAGATGATATAAACATATACTTAAATGCTCCCAATAACCCCACCAGAAAACTCTTAGATCTGATCAACTGGAATCATCATAGCAATTGAAATAAGCCTCCATGCTCCTGGGAGACATCAGCCTCCAAGGGCCCAGGCTCCCTGGGAGGGAGGAGAATGGGAAGGACTAGGGGAGTTAGACCTTTCAATCCTAGGAAGGCTGTCAGACAGATGTTTTGGGGAAACAAAGAAAAATCACTTTGTTAAAATTTTAAAATACAGTGTGTTTGTTAGAGTCCCAGGATGAATGAAAAGAAAGAAATAGCCTGTTGACATTTAGGGGGCTGTGGACACTGAGCTAGGGCAACCTTGGCTGCATGAAAGCAACTTTTACCAGATTGCTGAGACAGCCTGTGCTGCATCAGCAGCAAGGGGCTGGAGCTGCCTAAGAAGAGGGATAGAGACAGACAGGAAGCTGTTTCTGGGCAGAGGGGTGAGGACATGGCATCCTGGTCTGAAAGGCAGAGAATTCTCACCACCATTGCAGCTGTCTTATGATGAGGGGGCAGTATAAACCTGGTGTCTGAGCCGAGGAGATTCTTCTGGTCTGGGCTTCTTGCACTTCTCCACTGAAATGAGAATGGTGTAAATTCTTTAGCTGGACTTGTGGCTTACCTCCAAGCAGAACATCACAAAGGAGAGGCCCTTGGAGGTCTCAAGTGTGTCTTAAAATTGCTTGTGAATTTTTCATGCTACTTTAGTGCTACTTTCACTTAAAATATGAAAAGACATGTGTGTTTGGGTGAGATGAATAGTGTAAGAGGAAGCCTTTATCATCTCTGAAATTAACCTGAAATGTTGATTCACCCTGGAAATCACAGAGGAAATCTTGTTTATTTCATCACTACTCTTGGCAAAATCCTGGAAAGCAAAGGGCTTGTTAACCAAGACTATAACTCAGATTGCTTCCAACTCACTGTATTAGGCTGCCTTCCTAGAATTAAGGGAATTTAATGGATAGAGTGATTGAAAGGTTCTGTGTTTTTCTCATTTGTTGTGCTTAAGAAACTAATGCTTCTCTTTTCCAATGCTTTAGGTGTTGGTAGCTCTTCAGCTAAGCGATCTGGAGCCCAGGGTTCTGGAGCCATCATTCTTCTGAATAGGAACCAAGGAAGTTCTGTATTGTTCCATGTGATCAAGGAGACAGTAGT